TTTATGTGACAGTAATTATTAAATTGCAACATAATATTATATTTTTAGTCGTAGGTATTTATATTTCTCGGAGGAACAAATTTTCTTTAATATTGATTGTGATGATTTTAAATAAGAGTGGAATTCTTGGCACGTTTTGTTTATATTGACCTTCGTTATCAACATCGCCTTCAGAACTGAAACCTGCAAGTGATTTTTTTCAGACGTCCACAATTTATTCATTAAAGAAAATATTCTCTCTACTGGAGCATTTGTACCAGGTAGACATAAAATATATTCAATTAAAATACAAAAATTTTCATGTTGCAGATTGTTGGTGCGAAAGTGTTTGAACACTTCCACCCAACGAGTTTCTGTGTGAGCTTTTAAATTATTCCAGTCCGTAATTTTTTGTGGAGTAACGTAGTTTACAATTAATGAAAATTCGTCAAATACTTGTGCATCTTTAGTACTGTCAATATATCCCTTTTCAATCAATACATCCAATGCTTTTTGTACATCTTCCCACACAGGTACTTTTTTTAAATCTGCCCAATAAAATATCTCCATTTCTCTAGTAAGAAAGTTACTCCATTCTTCCAAATATTCACGACTCGTTTTATAAAATTCTGTAGCTGTTCTTTTCACAAAATCTTCATCGATATTGTCTTTTAGTTTTATGATTAAATTGCGAACAGTAAATGGAAGAAACTGATTGGTGTGTTTCTGAATCAAATTCTGAATGAGTTGATTGATTTCTTTTGCAGCGTCAATTGCCGATACAGTTTGACCTTCAACCTTCAAAACAGCTTGGTGAAAACTTGCTGACTGAGCGTGTAAAAAATAAAGCCATAATTCAGATGTGGGATCTTCAAAAAAGTCTTTTATTAATTTGGGACATTTTTTAATGCTCAAAAAATAGTTCTTTAACGGCTGGTACATTTTCAAAACTCTGTCCAAAGCAGGCATCAGCGCAAGCCAGCGAGTTTTGCTGTAGCCGAGCATTTGGTGATGTTCTATTTCAGCTTCAGCGCAAAATTCCTTTAGAGCTTCAACTCGAACCGTATAAATATAAAAAAATGAATATATTTTTACAATAATGCTTTCGTAATCTAAAGGTAGACCGTCTGCAGCAGATTTTATAGCATTGTGAATTATATGGGCTCCACATCCAATACCTATCAACGGTTTTTTTAGAGATGATTTTAATTTTGCTAACACATTATTAACTCCTCGCCTAGCTACGCCCCCAAAATTGACATTGGCATTATCGCCACAAAATGCGACAACTTTTTCTGTCAAATTATTATCTGTCAATACTTGCTGTCAAATAATTGACAATGATATCAGACGTTTCACCTGGTTGGTCTTGGAGGTCTAAAATTTTTACTTGTACACCTTCGTAAGGTTGAAAAAAACGCACAAGGAATGGATATATTTTCTTATTACCGTGGTTTGAAGCGTCGTTTAAAATTGTAATACAGTTGGACTTATTGAGATCATCCTTTAATTGCTCGATTGCTGTACGCGCCAAAACATTTACTACAATAGCTTCTGTCTTCGTACGCGCGCATGTGAATTTCTGATCAAAACAGGATTGGATTAATTTCGACGCACAATCATTAGAGCGAAAACTGTGGTTTTCTTGTATAGTGTGATACGCCCAGACACCTTCGGCCGCGGCAATATTCAAATCCTTTGAAGATGGAGCGTTTGAATTCTTGAAAAAATTCAACATTGAAGAACTAGAAGCAGCGGCACGATTTGCATTTTTATGTTTTTCGGACTTCAAATGTTGTTCAATGTCACCAGCACCACTATGAGAAACACTAAACTCAGTGCGACACTGTTCACATCTGACATCGGACGGAGTATTATTTTGCTTAATAAATGGGTACTTTGTTTGTAGGTTTACATTAAATGAACACTTGCGTTTCGGCATAGCTGTAGGTAAAATTTGTAATCGCACAAAACAATGGAAATCTTCAAATAAGTTACTAGTTTATCACTAAATTACTTCAAGAAACTGACTCAAAAACCATACAATAGCGAGAACTTTATATTTGTTGCGTGAAACAAATGACTGCGGAATGAATGCCCCCTCTCCTCTGCTCGTTATTAAGGTAACCGATAGCGCGCGCGCGCGCGCGCGCGGGCGGGAATCTCCAATCGGTCGACGACGCGTTTTGGTTTCGCTGGGCGCTCGTGCCGGACACGCACCAACATTTTAATTTTTCGCGCGGTTTTAGAAAACGGGACAATTTTGCGTCCCAGATCATTATATGGGGACAACGGGACAGGTGGTCCAATAAAGGGACAGTCCCGTTCAAAACGGGACGTCTGGTCACTTTATATATACCCTATATTAAACATTAAATGTTTGCTGGGTTAATAAATACTTATTATTATTATTATTATTATTATTATTATTATTAGAAGTCTTTCAGCAAAAGAGATAAAGGGGACACTATTTTTTGCATGGCGGCGCTTTCGTAAAGAAGAAGTCTCTACTTCTTCATCGTTCGAACGGCGATGTTTTTTTTCAAAAAACTTTCGCTTTTGGACGGCAGATTTCTCTTCATCGGCACTAGTGGAAGAATCAGAATCAGATGGTATAAATTCGTCTTCGGAAAATTCTACTTCTGCGAACGGATCCTGTTCTTCTTCCAAACTGTATTTAGTATTTCCCGACCATGTAACTGTCACCGACTTGACGATTGTGAATAATGAGGAAGTTTTATTTACTGTGGTCGCCTCTGGGATTCGAAAATCTGAGTCCTCCCGATTTGTTTCAGGAACAGCAACAGTAACGGATGATTTTAACTGTTGCATAGTCTCCACCATAACATTGTAGTCTTCAATAAAATTTTTGATAATTTTACTTGTTCCCAATCATTTGCAAATGGTTCTATACAAAACGCCACTACATTCTGGTGTTAGAAGTTTGGACAGTTTCAGAAAACTTGCAGTAAGAGACAGTGTGTATACAATTAACTTACCTGCAGTACATATAATGTTGCCACTGTCATTGTTGTACTCATCTTCGGCATAGATTTTGAATGTGTCTTGGGTTCTGACTAAGTGGAACATTTTCACAAATAGCAGACCAATTATAAACCACTTCACCACGAAAAAGTAATTATTTGAAGTATTTAATACCACAACACTTTTAAAAAAACATGTCATATTAATAGAAGATTTGCTTGTGGTCGTCTTTCTTTCGCGCCATCACGGAAACTACTGGCTTTTGGAAACCTGAGAAGAGAGGGGACGCTGTGAGTGGGAAGAGAAAATTCGTTGTCAAGTCTACCCAAACTAAAAAACTAACAGATGATTTCAGCAGTATATACAATTATTTGAAAAAAAAAAATTTAAGGGACATTTGAACATCGCCATTAAATGTGACGCTGGGATTTGTTTGGGTTTTTCGATTTTCTGCAAATTATTGCGTACTTAAAAATAAATTGCTCGTGAAACAATCCCCAAAAATGTTCATTTAGAATAGCTGATCTGCATTAGTAAAACAGGCTTCTCTTTATTATAACAAACTCTTTATAAACTTTCTTTTGTCACTTCCATTTCCTTTAAAAACGTAGTAAATTGGAAGAAGAAATGGATGAATTGTATTCACGGTTAAATTAGTTGTATATCAAGGCTTTCATTGATTACTTTTAGACCGAGTTCAGTTAGAGGCAATAGAATACTACATGCTAAGGTGGAAAGTGTTTCATTACTTTCGAGAGCGGTGAAGTCCAGAGATAAACTATTTCTCGAAAAATGAATGAAATTTTCCAGGAAGTTTGTATACGATTTTAACACAAACGTTTAAACTAGCTTGAAAATTGCCTGGAATTTTAAAATGGAAACTTTCCAACCGCTTAAAAAAGTAAATCCCCGAACCCTTGCTCATTTTCCAACTTTTTAAAGTTCGAAACTCGTATATTGTCCACCGATTATGAATAACAGAAATTTGCGATTTTAAATTTTTTGTAAAACATGGGCTTTCCTAAATCTAATTTTTACGTTGTTTTACAAAATCACTCACTTTATCAAATGATATAAACGAGGCTTGGGAAAGCATATTTTCAACTGCATATTAAAACATTGATCGAAGAGTATTTTGAGATTTCGACAGGATGAGGGCCCTTGAAGTACCTACATTCCAACGTCCAACACATTCCGCTTCTTTGACAAATTAAAGGGATGAGTCGATTCGGCGTTGATAGTAACGCAGTGTTCTACGAAAACATAATTAATAATTATAAATAAGTCTGCGAATTTGTTTATGTTTTGTCTGGACCGCAATCCGAGTTCCAATTTCTCCATTCACCACTGGGAGTGGAGTCACAATTTACGACTGTTCGTCCTTGTTTAGTTAAGTTTTACTTGCTTAATTCCTTGAACGCCAGTAAAATTAGTTGACAATTTAGAATTAAATAAAAAACGTTATTGTCTTCATACATACAGTTGGAATTACACACAATCCCATTATAAAAATAAGGAAATCACGCAATTATGCAATATAACCTTTGCAAGGACAGATATATCAATTAATTAAATGGTGCAGCGTAATGCAAATAATAACAGCAGTGTTTTCACACATTTTCGGGAAAATGAGATCAATTATAGTCTCTGTCCCGCCGGATCGCTGTGCAAATCACATGGACTTGTAAATACTTTAAACTTTTTTAATAAATAATAAGAGAAACCTTCATTAAGTTCTATTTTGTACTTGTTGCGAGCTAACAATGTAAAAGGACGACGAGTGCACCCAGTGGCGTAGCTAACTTCCACTGAGCCCCCCCGCAATTTATAGTAAGCGCTCACATACACCAAATTTAAAAAGTAATATAAATATGTACAGTCAGGGACACGGAATTTCAAACGACAACCAACTTTCTGACATTTAAAAACATTGTAGTCTTATACCTTATTGTCATTATGATTGACAGGTCGTTTGAAATTCCGTGTCCCTGACTGTACATACTTACTCGTTTGCATATTTAAAAAACATGTATCGGTTACGTTACGGTCTGCGCCCCATTTGACGCTGCGCCCCCTCGCATCGCGGGGTCTGCGGGGGTGCTATTTGTTGTGATTTCTGGTTTTACTTTTACTTCTTTGCTTGTAAAAAATTGGAAATTGACTTTTTTAATCGTTTATTTATTTTATTTATTTTTTTTTATATATATTCAATTTTTTTTACATAGCAACTGTTCCCTTTTTTAAAAGATAATTGAATATAAAATTTCATTCTCATCAACATCAACTCATTAACACTATTTACGCCACTGAGTGCACCTCTAAAAAGTCAACAATAATTTCATTTTCATAGTCACTGTGAATAAAAAAATAAAAGTAATATTAATCACAGGACATCATAAAAAAAAAACTGATCGCAGGTTATCTCGACAGAATTACGCTCGTCCCTAAAGTTCAGTCAAACATATCTAGTTTTTTCGAACGGTTATAAAATTTGCTTTTGTGAATTTTATTTTTTTTATATAAGGACCTTAATGAGTTAAAATAAAATACATATGTATATAATGTTAAAGTAAATGTAAATGATTACTTCATGAACAAACCACAAGTACAGAGTTATAATCTTCAGAGATTATTTATTTGGCAAAACTTTGGAGATGACGTTATCAATTTTTTGGGAGGGGATAAACGAATAAATTTTGATTAACGATTTACCATGATTATAATACTCTTAAAACGTTTCCAGATTTCAGAGCATTCTGTTTTACAGTTTCAAAGTTGAATTACCAAATATTGTTTTACACAATTTTGATTCTTTTTCCAAAAATCTGGATATGTAGGGTGAAAGTTACAATGCATCAACCTCACAAATAATCCTACATCGAGTTAAAAACAGAGACCGTTCAATTCCAAGAGGAGATTATTGAATTGAAAAAAAAGGTAAAAATCAGGATAGCGGAAAATTCATTCATGTTATTGGCAAATGTAAGATTAATTGTAAGAGTGGTATGCGTTTACGAAAAACAGTTGCTAATAAAATTAGACCCCTTTTTATTACATCAAATTCCCTGGAAGATGTTATAAACGCACTAAGAAATTATGGAACCAAAAATAAAATACATATACGTATTATTGCCCAAGACGGTTTTTTCATAAGAAATTATTTTTAAACTGTTACGTATGGGGTATGGGACATGTGCGAATAGAAAATTAATAAAAAATTCTAATTCAACAATTTTAATAACTATACTCACTGCTTCAGCATTGCATATTCACACCATAAACTGCTAGGAAACTTGAGGGCTTTGGATCTTTCCTTAAAATAACCAAGCATTACGGTTTCATTAATATCTTGGATGTTTTGTGATGTATGCCAATTTGAAAATGCTTTGTAAGTTTCATCATGACGTAATTTCGATTTTTCAGGTAACACAGATGCGCAAGCAATATTGGCAGTGTTGGACGTAAAGGCTTTGAAAACACCTTTTTTTCGCGGCGATTTTACAATTCCAAAAAAAATATATTAAAATTTGGATCGAAGCTGACAAACGCATCAAAAGGTCACCTACCTTGTTTTGTTCAGCCTCCTGGGTTGAGGGTTTGTAGACCGCATGCACAAAGGAACCACGTGTCTAAGTTTCGCGACAACAATTCGCGATTTACGTCACAGAAGATGGCAACTGCGTTCACTTAACGCCCACCTTAGCGATGTTACCTCTCTGAGGGTTTCTCGATAACTCTGTTCGATAACAGCGCCAACCCCAAGTACCGGGCCCTTTTGCTCGGTACTATGGCGCCTCTAGTGGAAAGTGACCAAAATACACTTGTCAGCAATCCGCGGGAAAACAAACAAAATCAAAACAAAATATTAACAAACTTCGAACCGGAACATTCCGCCCACCAAAAGAAAATTAAACAATTTTTTTTTTTTTTTTTTTTAACGTAGGTTCCAGCACAATATAAGATTAATTGACAATCTAAAAACTAATGACTAAAACTAAATACAATATGATATACAAACTATTGACGAGGAAGCGGGCACAGCTTCACTAGTGGTACGTACTTGTGCAACTCGCACTATGCCGTCTTTTCCCGGGTGCAGCGCGACAATTCGGCCAAGTTGCCACTGCAACGGGGCCACCGAATCACCCTTGATTACGACCAGCGTATCTACCGACGGTAGGTTATTCGACGTGTTCCATTTATTTCGTTGCTGCAATGTATGGAGATAACCCTGTTGCCACCTATGCCAAAAATCCTGGTGCAACCGTTGCACGAGCTGCCATCTACTTAGCCGATTTAACCGCATTGCCTCCAACGGTTCATCGGGAACGGCCACTAACGGTCCTGTGGTTAAAAAATGCCCGGGTGTTAGAACCGACAAATCTTCGGGGTTATCTGCGGAGACGGGACACAGGGGTCGCGAATTCAACACGGCTTCAATTTGCGCCAATACGGTACTAAATTCTTCGAATGTTAGGAGTTGCTCGCCTACCACGCGCTTAAGATGCGATTTGAACGATTTAACGCCCGCCTCCCATAATCCTCCCATATGGGGGGCCGACGGGGGGTTAAAATGCCATTTGATGCCGCAGCTACCGGCCGCTGCTTGCAAATATTTCTGAAGCAGATTATTGGCGCCCACGAAATTTGTACCGCAATCGCTATAAATGTCAGTACATTGTCCTCTACGCGCCACTAAACGACGTAATGCACCCAAAAACCCTTCCGAAGTCAAGTTAGACACCAATTCCAGGTGGATGGCCTTTACCGCAAAACAGACGAAAACGCAGACGTAGGCCTTCAACCGCGCCGCACCCCGACGCCGTCCCATTGTAATGGAGAAAGGGCCAGCAAAGTCCACTCCACAGTGCGTGAAAACCTTTGCTTGCGTTACTCGCGGCCTCGGTAGTTCACCCATAAACGGCGTTATTGGCTTTGGATTTACGCGAAAGCATCTGTTACATCGTCGAAGGGTATGTTCGATGGCGCGTCGGCTTGACAGAATCCAAAATTCACGCAACAACAAATACTGTAATGTCCGGAATCCGACATGTAAGTGTGTCCGATGAGCGGCCTCTATGATTAGTTCGGTGAGACGGTGCGATCGCGGTAATAACAAGGGGTGCTTAGCTTCATAGGGCAATTCCGATTGTTGCAATCTTCCGCCGACGCGAATCAAACCGTCGTCGAGGAAGGGGGACAGTTTGCGGAATGGTTTTGAACATGTGCCATTCTTTTTCAATGAACGAATTTCACTGGCAAATACTTTACTTTGCACCATTCGCACAAGTACTAACAAGGCACGATGCAATTCCCTCCTGTGTAACGGTCCCGACTCTCTTTCCTCCTTTGGAATTCTTAAATTTTGAACAAAACGCAAACAGTACGCGATGATTCCCTCAATTTTTCGAAGTGACGAGAATCGGTTTAATAGGATCATCGGCCATTCTTCGATCACGCGACTGATGAGAACCCTTTGCCGGGCTTCAAGTTCCGTACCGGTAGGAACTTCTAAGTCTATTTGTGGCGGCCACTCAGTACCTGCCAACCATGTGGGACCCGCCCACCATAGCGGATGTGTAACAAGCTCCTGGGGGAGTAATCCCCTCGATGCGCAGTCGGCCGGGTTATCACGCCCGCTCACATGATTCCATGCCGACGGTTCCAACTGATCTTGGATGTGCGCGACCCGATTCGCGACAAAAGTGGCCCAACGATAGGGCGGCGACCTAATCCACGTTAACGCAACTTTAGAATCCGACCACGCATACACCCTGTGTATGTTTAAAACACCCTTGAGAGTTTCACGGACGAATGATAATAAGTCGGCGGCTAGTACCGCAGCGCATAGCTCCAGACGTGGAAGTGAAACCGTCTTCAAAGGAGCGACGCGGGATTTTCCGGCGATTAGAGAGACCCGAATTTCTCCTGTTGGGCGGGATTGGCGTAAGTAAACCACGGCCCCGAAACCCCGCTCCGACGCGTCCGCGAAACCATGAAGTTCCGAAGTAAGGGCCCCATCATCAGCACACTGACGCGGTATTGAGACCTTACCCAATTCCGGAACTTGAGCCTGAAAGGAATTCCATAAATTGACAATTTCAGCCGGCGGTGCATCGTCCCAACCGATGCCGATACTCCACAATGTCTGAATTAATTGTTTAGCCATTAACGTAAGGGGTGCGAGAAAACCTAGCGGATCATAGATTCGCGCAATTTCGGATAGAATGTTGCGTTTGGTACACGGACGATTATTGGGATTAATGCTATATGAAAATATGTCTGCCTGTGGGCACCACTGAAGCCCTAATAGTTTAATCATTCCGGGGCTCTCTAATGGGAATTGGTATGGCCGTTGGTGGCTTGTGGGAACTGAGTTCACAAGACCTTGAATATTGCTCGCCCACTTGCGTAGCTCAAAGCCTCCCTTATTCAATAATTTGATTAATTGTTCTTGCGTCTCGCGTGCATCCTCGATAGATGATGCGCCCGCTACCACATCATCTACATAAATACATGACTTAAGTACCTGCGCTCCGAGTGGAAACGCGTGCCCTTCGTCCTTTACGAGTTGGGCCAAAGTTCGGATTGCTAGATAGGGGCTGGAGCACACCCCGTATGTTACGGTATTTAAATAATATTCGTTGATCGGTTGTTCCGGCGAAAAACGCCATAGAATTTTTTGGTATAACCGTTGAGATTCCGCCACTGCAATTTGCCGATACATTTGTCTAATATCGGCCGTAAAAACTATATTGTGTGTTCTAAATACCATCAAAAGGGCGCCAATGTCCGCCTGTAACTTAGGACCCACGAGTAAGACGTCGTTCAACGAATTTCCGTTCGACGATTTGGCCGACGCATCGAACACGACGCGAAATTTTGCATTATCCGGATCCGTCCGCGCTATGCCATGGTGAGGTATATAGAAACCCGCGTTTTTGTTTACTTGAATCTGGGGAATAACCGTCATGTGACCCTGATCGATGTAATCCTTCATAAATTCGTGGTATGATTGCCGAGCTAACTTGTCTCGAAAGAGGCGCGCCTCCAGGGCGAGGAAACGGCGCATCGCCGAATCAAACGAGCGACCTAAAGACGGCGACGTGTCTGCGAAAGGCAATTGAACAACATATCTCCCTTTGATGTCGCGTGAAATCGTCGACGTGAATTTTTCTTCGCACAAAACGTCCTGCGGGGCCGCCATAATGCGTTGTGGCACTTGCTCAAGCTGCCAAAAGCGTTTTAACGCCGCGTCTAACGAGTTATCTATGGACGTACAAAGCGACCTGACCACGGCTTTCTGCTTATCACGTTTAATACCCCCAATCAGTACCCAACCGAAAACAGTATTTAACGCGGACGGTTCCTCGAGCCTACCTTTCTTGAAACCGGATGTCACGATTTGTCCGTAAACATCAGCGCCTAACAAAACGTCTACCTGCTGTGGTGTACCGAATTCCGGATCAGCCAATTCCAAATTGCGTAGGTGACGAAATTGTCTCAACTGATCTTGAGACACTGCCATTGTGGGGACGTCACCGCAAATTTGCGGCACAACTACCATCTCGGCCTTCAACGAGAAATTACGCACTAAATGCGACCTCACTTCGCATTTTAATACACCCGACGTACTGCTTGTCGACATTTGATTTAAGCCTTGAATAGGTACCACCGCGTTAGTTTGAGGAAGCCCTAAAACCTTTGCACAGCGCTCTGTGACGAAGGTGGCCTCGCTGGCAGTGTCCAAAAGCGCCCTAAATGCGCGGTATTTACCTCGCGAATCCACCACTATTATTCGCGCGGTCGCCAGCAGAATGAAACTTCGGGTCGGAATCGCGTTAGTCATAACTTTAACACCGTCGTCGGTAGATGGGTTTTCCACAACCCCTGACGCCTCTCCCGAATCTGCACTAGGTTTGGGGACAAAATGTAATAATGTGTGATGCCTACAATTACATACTCGACAGTTTACTTTAGATGGGCATTTGCTAACCGAATGTACCCTCGACAAACAATTATAACACAGATTTTTCTTACGCGCGAAAGTATGTCTATCCCGTGGCTCCATTTCTAAGAAAGCATCGCATTTCGTTAATGGGTGCTCATCCGAACAATTAAGACATTGTTCCTTGCTGGTCGGTGATCGCGTGACAAACGATGACGTCACGGGACGCTTAGCAGGTACGGACGATGCAGCTGTGGGTTTACGAAGGGCGGATGCGGAATTATGACCCATTGTCATAACGGAAGTTTCCAACGCGGTACAATGTTTAAGCAAAAATTCTTGGAGGTCATTGTAAGCAGGTACGGAATTTCCTACAATACTCAACTCAAATTTCTGTTTCCACGTGGTGTCCAGTTTTTGTAACATTAAATTTAACAAGGTGAAGTCCCACAAATCGACTTCATCGTACTGCTTCAACGCGGCCAAATTTTCCGAGAACACGTTTAACAAATTTCGCAACAAACTCGGCGAATCTCCATTCACTTTGGGTGCACTATAGATTGCTTGCCAATAATTCGTCAATAATACGCGCTTTTGTTATAACGCGCCACCAGCGCATCGAATGCGATAGCATAATTTGCCGCCGAAATCGGCAAATTTTTGATGAAGGTAGACGCCTCGCGAGACAATGACGTCGACAAATATTGAAATTTTTCAATTGCGCTAAGATTTGGGTTATTGTGGATAAGCGACCGAAACAAATCATAAAATGTGGGCCAGTTTTTGATCTGACCGTCAAACGTCGGAATTTGAATTTTGGGCAATTTGACGTTGTTTGATGTTAAATTGCCCCTAGGTGCGGATGACTGCGCGGCCTCGCGATTTAATTCCGCTGCAACCGATTTAATTGAATACTGCATATCGTCAAATCTTGATTGCACCTCGTATTGTTCGTCTAGCTCCTCAGGGGTGGTGCATAATTCGACAATTTGCAACTGTCGCTGCTCAAACTGGGCAACAATATGGTTTAAGTCCGCAGCTCGAATAAAAAACTCTCCTCGTACAGTTTCGTGGACTCTGGCTTGTTGCGATAGATTCACTAAAGCCTCCACGCGTTTGATCAAACTAGCGCGTCCATTACTTAGTGCGGCGACGGTAGCCATGATGTAAGCTCGAAGTTACGTATTTCGATAAATTGAAAATCAAATGAAAATGCGTGCTAATCACGCTTAGCAAAACCACAACAAATTTGTGCTGGAATCTACAAATCTCTCGTAATTACCCTAAATCCGGCTCGAAGGACCATTTGTTGGACGTAAAGGCTTTGAAAACACCTTTTTTTCGCGGCGATTTTACAATTCCAAAAAAAATATATTAAAATTTGGATCGAAGCTGACAAACGCATCAAAAGGTCACCTACCTTGTTTTGTTCAGCCTCCTGGGTTGAGGGTTTGTAGACCGCATGCACAAAGGAACCACGTGTCTAAGTTTCGCGACAACAATTCGCGATTTACGTCACAGAAGATGGCAACTGCGTTCACTTAACGCCCACCTTAGCGATGTTACCTCTCTGAGGGTTTCTCGATAACTCTGTTCGATAACAGCGCCAACCCCAAGTACCGGGCCCTTTTGCTCGGTACTATGGCGCCTCTAGTGGAAAGTGACCAAAATACACTTGTCAGCAATCCGCGGGAAAACAAACAAAATCAAAACAAAATATTAACAAACTTCGAACCGGAACAGGCAGCTTCTTCTATTGCCTTTAAATAACTTGAAACAATATTTTTCACTTTGAACAACTACTTTTTAGGAAACTTCATGTGTAAACAAATGTTTTACCTTGTTGCTACGGAAATGAATACATTCAACGTTCCTGATAATTTGTTAAATATTTTTTAGTTACTACAATTATTATTTTTTAGTGTTACTGGTGTCGGTAGCAGAAAAAACGTAATACAATACACGCTGCGTAACTCCTTTCTTAAATCTCGGAGGTTTGCCGGGCCTCGGCGTTGCCTTGGCCCGTCAAATCCACCTCGACAAAAAAGTTTACTTACGCAGCTTGTAATGTAAATAACTATTTGACGTTGATGGTGTTAATTTTAATGTAGCATCTGATGATGATGCAATGTCATCATCTTCTTGAACACTGATTTTTATGGACTCTTCCAAAATGGCCAAAAAAATTACTGGTATTGCCAGAGGTTTTTAGTTTTTTGGCGCAGAACTTGGAAACAGCGAAGTCGTTGTCTTCTTTAGTAAAACTTTACTTTTTAGGGGCGTCATGTTTTTTCTGCGAACAAAACATTGACATATTTTACTTAAAACACCACATAATAAAACTTACTTACAATTTGTATGTGTTACTTCTTTGCAATGATACGCTTTTGTAATTCTAACCTCGATGCGGTTGGATTTTACCATGGAGGAAGAAATATATATACCTACTGTGCACCGTGGTAAGAAGTTTGAAACATGTTTAGTAGGTTCTCTATCTACTTAATACTCTATAATAAACAGTGATTTTACATCGTCCTCATATTTCCATCATGAATAACTATGTATATAGAATAATCTCAGTAGAAATATATAGATCCATGTGCCTCCATATGAAATAAAACTTCTAAGTTAAACTGTGTTGCTTTTTTTAATTACAATAACAATGGTGATATAATAAAAGCAAGTAGGGTCCATTGAACTTCTGTAACTCGAACTATTTAGGAAATGTTCCACAAACAATTAATTAAATGGCCGAAGAATACATGAAGTGGATTCAACACTTTTACTATCCTTGTAATACGTACTAGATTTTTTAATTGTCCTTTGAATTTTACGTTTCACTTTCCCAAATAAATTGCAATTCGGTATATGGTATAAACAAAACATATTGATAATTTTATGTTTTGGTGTATGACAAGAAGGAACAAAATGTTTTTAACAAGAGAAGCATTAAAAACGTAACATCTATTTATAGCAGTTCAAAAAATCAAAAATCTTTTCTGAAAGATGTTTACACGAATTTAGAAAAATTTGTTCCAATCTTAAAAAAAGTGTAAACGACGATGCCGTGGAAAAATTTAGACATCCTGGACGATATTCCTTTAATGTAACCAATTTTGTACAAAACTTTATTACATTATTATCTGTTAATTAAGCATATTTGGCATTTCAATTTTTTCCTAAGTCATTTCAGAATATATTCTGCCGAATTATACAAACAATTTTGATGTGTCTTGTTTAATTCTGTACTGTACTAGACGCAAACATTTAGTGCGTTTATGGCTTCACAGTTTGAGAGGTTCTCAAATTTTGTTCAGCAAGCCGCTGCGAACAATTGCGACGGGTATTCTCTCTGAACTGCAAGACGATTTTCGAGTCTGTAATACATTAGTGCTATTTATATCTTCAGTGTTTTCAAATAATCGGTACCTTTTTTACAGATAAACAAAATCCTCTCCAGCCAGTTGCACTGTCATAATTTCTTTGCGAAAGCAAATATGCCTTCTAGACAATTTGTTAGCGGCGTGAAGACCACTTGCTTCCTGTAATTCAACAAAATTTTCAAAATGATTCCAATCAATAACATTTCCACCATCGTATTAAAATCTTCCATTCATCCAGAGCATTCCTCGCCAATTTGACCATATGGCATGCGTCCAAAATAATATGCACTTTTTTTGAGCTGAATGATTGCAAAAAAATGGTTTAAAATCTGCAAGATCTAATTTTGCACCTAGATTAGCTGCCGTAGCAAAATTTATGGTAGCACCGTCAAATATAAGAGCCGTTACTTTTACACCACAATCGTGTATTAATGTTAAACAACCTTTAATTAAATTGTCCTTTCCAAAAGCTCCTATGCCATCAATAAGCCATAGGTGTGTTCCATTGTGAATTTAGGCCAAGTAGTAAAAATACCAATTCCTCCTTTGCTTCAGGAAGTGTGTCGCTTTCAATATTGGTACCATAATCAATAAGCCCTTGACACCGCTTTCCATTCCACTCTACATGTTCTCTGACGGCCAGTTCGTCCATTATTAAAGTACATAATAATTCTTATCCTTTCTCCTTGGCTTCCTTGACTTTAATTTTAAGAGCTCTTAACGATTCTGCTGTATAACCGGGTGATCCATCGACTACAGAAAGCCATTTACGTAAAATACTGGGATGTAGAAGGCAATTGTTGAGAGTTTTTCGAACATACATGTATGCTGAATTCGAATATAAATTCAAAGTCAACGCAAAAGTTCGTAGGTGAGGTGGACATTTTTTTCCTTGTTTTTTTTTTTAAGTTGTTTTAGCAACAATTTCATTTCGGATGGTGGAATGCTTTCCTGTGAGCCTAACAAAAATTATAATTTCCCCAAACATATCCTTCTGCAATAAAATAAAATTCTGAAAGTATATATATTTCATTAATTAATGCAAAACCTTTACATGAATTATTCTCGTGTATATGAACGACAAATCACAAAATAATAATAATAATAATAATAATAATAATACTTTATTCCCAACAGGTAATAATACACCCAGTAACAGGGAAAAAAATTAACAATAATTATGAAGTAGTGCAGTAAATACAAAGAAAAAGAAAAAGAAAAAAAATATATATATGTATAAAATATTAACTCAAATAAAATTAAGTAAAAATAAGTCACAAGTGAAAACTTAATCCAAAAACGCAACTTTTAATTAATGGTTCAATTATAATATTATGATCGGAACAAAAGACAAAATAAATTATTTATTACAGTAGACTTTATAAATGGTTTGAATAACAGTACCTAAACTATCAGCATTTATGTCGCAAAATTTAGATATATGATTAAATAGTTCACACATGAGAATTATAGGTGATCTACGTAACACATTTGTTCTGGTTGCTAATGAGTAAAATGTTAAAAACTGTCGAGAATGAACACGAGGTACAATGAAACGAATTTTATCTAAAAGAATTATACAGTCTATTTTGTTATTAACTAACTTATGTAGAAAGCTGATGGTATGAATAATACGCCTAATTTCTAAGGAAATAAAGTTGAATTGATTTAACAGTTGTAAGTGATCACACCCTCTGTCAGGATATACCCCAGATGAACGATATGACAGAAATTTCAGGAACTTACGTTGGACGGATTCTATATTTTTTATATGAATTTCGTAAATTGGAAACCATATTAGTACTCCGTATTCAAGTTGAGATCTAACTAATGCGTAATACAGATTGCAAAGAGTAGAGATGTTGAGAAAATCATTACAATTTCTGTAAATGAAACCATACATCCTGTGAGCTTTTGACACTATTTCTGTCATATGATCATTAAACATTAGCCTACTATCAAAGGTGATTCCAAGGTCTTTATACTTTTCTCCACGATTTAGGGTAACTGCATCGATATTATAATTGAAGATAATAGGTTCCTGTTTTTTAGTATACGAAACTACAAAACATTTATTTTTATTTAGTGATAAACGATTAGTGTTGCACCACTCGACTACAGTATTAATGTTGGTTTGAAGAATCCTACAATCATCAGTGGTGTTAATTTCAAAAAACAATTTCAAGTCATCTGCAAATAACAACTTTTCGGAAGATATATGTTCAACAATGTCGTTAATAAACAATAAGAACAAAAGTGGTCCCAAATTAGATCCCTGAGGAACTCCAGATGTCGGTGAATATATTTCTGAATAGAAGTTACGATATCGTACTGACTGCACTCTACCAATAAGGTACGACTTGAATAATTTAAGTAATGACTCAGAGAAGCCAAATTGGCGCAGTTTGTCTAGGAGAATAAAGTAATCGATTTGGTCGAAGGCCTTAGAAAAGTCCATATATATCGCGTCGACTTGACTTCTACTATCGATTAACTGAGATACGTATTGAGAAAAACAAGCCAGATTCGTCACAGTCGACCTCTTCTCAACGAAACCATGTTGGTATGGTGTTATAAAAGATTTCACAGATGAATAAATTAGCTTATACATTACTGATTCAAATGTCTTCACAAAATTACATAATAAACTTATGGACCTGTAGTTCTTTACATCAGCTTTATCCCCAGACTTAAATATGGGAGTAATGCAGGATTTTTTCCAAAGTTCTGGTACCTGACAATCTTTGAGAATAAGATTAAATATTCTAAGCAATGGAGTCACAAAGATATATGCACAGTCCTTGAGTAGAAAGCTAGGAATGCCATCAGGACCGGATGTAAATGTGTTCTTACAGTTTTTTAAGGCCAAAAGAATATCTTTTTCAGACAGTGAAGTAATGGTAACTGAAAGCTGAGCTGCTGTTTCATTCGTAGTGCAAAAAGGAGCTAAACAATCGGACTTTATATAAACATTACTAAAATGATGAGCAAAAGCGTTAACTATAGCTTGTGGACACGATAGTTCTCTGTCATCATAGCGCATTAAGCCAGGAATACGTGTGCTACCTTTTTTGTTATGAAGAAACATCCAAAATGACTTAGGATCTATAGAAATATTATTTTCAATCTTACGCATGTACATTCTATAAGCATTTTGAATAAGTACTTTACATTTGGAACGATGGAATTTAAATAAATTATAGTAATGAGCAGTTTTATATTTTTTATACAGTTTGTGCAATGAGTATTTAGTACGTATAGCATTTCTTATTTCCTGATTAAACCAGGGAGGATATTGTCGACGGTTAGTACTCAATTTGATTTTAAATTTAGGAACAGCAAGATCAAAACTTTCATGGAGTTTGGCATAAAAAAGAGAACAAATTTCATCAACGCTACCAAATAAAATCATCCCCAATAAAAAATAATTGTCGTAGCTTATATAATGGATTACATGATTCTCCAGCTCTTAACTGTTGTATACATTGACAAAATCCTTTTTATTTTAAGTTTAGGGATTTTGTTGTTTTAGTAGTTGCATGTGCTGAACCACATTTAGAAACTTAAGTTAACGGTTACATACATGATGCCGATAGCGATGTAGCCACATAGCCGTGCATGTGTTAATAATAACAATTAAGTTGTTGTTGTGCCAGAAGCGTTTTATTCCAAGACTAACAACATCGTATTTTAGGTAAGCAGAGAAAAATGTTGTGCCTCGGTGGGATTCGAACCCACGTCTCCACGCATTCCGGGCAGGTATGCTGACCACTACACCACAAGACAACTTATCTTTACTCTGCTTACCCATGTGTTATTGTGTCGCTACAGTACTCCCCACCCCCAGCGACACAGCGCGCGGTCGTGCTGGGGTGCGAAGGAGATAGATGCTGGCGTCGCCCCTACCACTCTTACGGTCGTTGTTCGAACCCTGGCGGTGCTGCGGACCCCGAACACAGCGGGCACAGGGCGGTGGCAGAAGGATGTTGCGTGCGCGTTGCCTGTCGGTGGTCACCAATTTAGGTAAGCAGAGAAAAATGTTGTGCCTCGGTGGGATTCGAACCCACGTCTCCATGCATTCCGGGCAGGTATGCTGACCACTACACCACAAGACAACTTATCTTTACTCTGCTTACCCATGTGTTATTGTGCCGCTACAGTATATATAAGATTGTTAACAACGAATTCTGGTTTTGTTTTGTAATTATCCTGCGAATATTTAAGAGCAATTATAACCGGAGGAGGTTTTTTGATTACATTATACAATACAATTAAAGGTGTAGCAACTACTCCTAATACTGATAGTACTATATACATGTTGTTATTATTACTGCTTTATATGAAGGAAATAGGGTTAACAGTGAATTCTTTAAATTGTTTGTTATATGTATAGATGTAGATAATTACCGATAAAAGCATAAAAGGCATACTTACTACAACAACGTTACTTAGAAGCCATCATGTATCACACTTTAAAGCTAAAACTCACATTACCATTCTTATGCAGCACATGCAACTTATGTATCTTTTAAATGTTGTATCAGGTCTTTTAATGTGTCCACTTTCCTAGAAAGTCTTCCTTTTTTGATGCGCAAAGAGTTGATTTTTTTTTATTCTTTATTGCTAGACTAGTTTTTGCCAATTGCGACATTTTCTTCATAAAATGACCGTCTTTAAATTCGCCAAAGTACACTGGTGAACGTTTAATTCTAAAATATCACGCGTTCATAATTAAATAGGTATGTCCTCTTATTTGTAAATTTATTGAATGTTTATAAGTAATTGTAGTTTATTTTATTACGTACGAGTGTGTGATTATTTCGTAGGTAAAGTTTGTCCAGAATTATAAGAATTTTATGGACTCCCAACGTTCATTCGTTTTAGAGCCCAGGCCTCAATTCTATTGTACAGGTAAAGAGCCTGTCAGGGGAAAGCCGATGTTTTATGTACCTGAGTTCACCCCGCTCTTCAGCTGTACAATAAAATTGACAACAGGGTTGTAAAACCAATTCACTTTGGGAGTCCATAAAATTCTTATAATTCTAGACAGACTTTAACTACTAACTACCTAGCAATTTGACTAGTACTTGGACTTTGCATACCGCTGTAATTTCTTGTGATTTTTTTTCCGCTAAGAGATAAACAAACTATATGTTAAAAGAAAGTTCTGAGTGAATTTAATACACATTCTCGTTTTTATTGGCCTCTTCTGGTAAATGAACTTCCAAGTTTTTCATTGTCACAAATTTTTTTAGACAAATGATTTGGGAAATCAAAAACAGCATCATGTTTCAGTTGCTTTTTCACATTGAAAATAATGTAATCACATTCAAGAAAATGCTTGCTACATATTACACTTGTCCTGGAGGGTTGGAAATTCGCACGCCACATAGAAACAATCCATTTCATGTTTAATTCTTGGTTCAATGGTAATCTAAAATCTATTAACTTGATCAGTTTCCTTTATGATTGGATCATTTCAGCAAAAACTGATTAATAAGTCGTAAAGAATAGGCACTTAAGAAAACTAATATCCAATTCAGCTTCAATGGTTTTGTTTAAGAACAAACAATTATATAGGTATAAATATTACATTAAATTTACCTGAAAATTTAAAAACTTTTTCACATAGATTTCTTTAGAATAAATGAACAATAATGTAGAAGTAGTCAACAACCATTAATTTTAAAATAAAGAGCACTAGTGCGAACAAAAGAGTTCGTTCTAAATGTTTGAACTACACTTTAATACACTTTAACTCGTTTACAATAATCAATCTTTATATAATTTTCCAAATTCATTGAATGGCTCTTCTAGAGAAATTGTCAATTACCAACCTATCAAATGATATTCCGCAATTTTTCGACCACCTAGTGGTGCAATTAAAGGCACTACAACTTTGCACCGTTCTTTCTTAAAAGTTTTAAGACCAAACATAATCTTTAATATTGTTCGGGCGATACGGGAGACTAAGAAAGCAGTTAGACCACATGAAATATCATCTTCACACAGTGAAACTTACGTTTGCCGCCTTTAAACGCATGCATTTAGACTTGGCTTTTGCCCTAAATCTGAAATGTGTGTTGCATACTCAAGACGGTGCCAAGTTTGAGAGATGTTTGAATCAGAGAACATAGAGAAGCGTCATAGTTTAAATCAAATGACGGTTGACGACTCCTCGACTCCAACGTCAATAAGGGTGATTTTGCAAAATCAGCGTGTATGTCGCATCTATATTAATCTATGTTTGAATTGTTGTAGTCATAACCTCACAGTTTCGCATGCTGGAACTGTGCAACTGTGTTTAATGTTTGTCGACAAGTTGTAAGATCGACTACTAATTCATCTCCGCTGTTTGCTGTCATTACATGTAAAAATAATAGATTTAAATTTGGCATTTAAGTGTACTGTGGCTATGGTGCGTGATGGTAATACATATTACCGCTCTGAAATATACCCCAGACCCGAGATTTGGTAGTAGGAATGCAATTAATAATGAAGTGCCGAAGAAACATTATTGTAATAATTTTACCAATGATGAATTAAACGTGGAACACCTGGACGTTTCCAAAAATTTTTTAATGATGGCAAATGCTCAAATCCTTATGAAAATTACTACAGCAAGCGGGTAAAATGTAATGTTATCTGTAATTAATTCTAATAACAATTTGTTTCAAGACAGATCACTTCATTTTTTGGTTTCTGGAAAGACGTTTCGATTGTTGGTGAATTGCACTTGGGTGTGTGGGTCTACAGTATCATCGAGTAATATTAATATCTTTGAAGGTAAATAATTTATAAATATTTCTGTAATATGTGTCAGACTAAAAATTATATTGTACTTTTAGACTCCCAAAATCAGTGCTGCCCATCATACATATCTATCAACGAAATGTAGTCGTACACGTTATTGATGCGCAAGGAGTGGTTTAAGTTTTTCTACTAACTTCATGTAAGTGACATTATTCATTATATTTTCATTGTCTCGACCATTTTCATAAACAATTTTCAATTCTACTTAATACCCTAATTCCCTAACGGGGAGTAGTCACATGTCTGGAAACAAAAATAGTTACGTCAACCACATAAAAAAAATCGGCGTTCGAGGACCCATGAGGTACCCGACACTTTGGGGTAATGTCGCTAAAAGTTTTTCGGGTAACTGGGACCTGCTTCCATGTTCTAATTCACTTGAGGTCAAATTTTACTGTTTTATGTTACGAGTATATCTTTAAAAACTTACTATGAGTTGCATACACACGATTAAAACTGTGCTTTAATGTTAAAAACATCATAGAACTACAAATGAAAGTACAGATAATATATTTTTTTATGATACTTGTCATATGATTAAGCTCGTGAGAAACACATTGGGTGATAAAGGCATTATTTTTGGTAAGCAAAACAATGAAATTAAATGGATGTACATTAAAGAATTAAATAATGTTCAAATAAATGAAGGGTTGCGTATAGGAACACGATTAAGTCGAAAGCACATAAACTATCAAAATAACAGAATGAATGCCAAGCTAGCTGTGCAGACTTTGAGCGGAAGTGTTGGCTAAAGTATTTGTTTATTTGCACAGCATAAAATATAATAACATTAGTTGTGATGACAATACTGTAAGTACAGCAAATTTTTATTTCAATTTTAATAACATTTTATACAGATGAAATGTAAATTTTAAGTTAGTGTTATGTTTAATTTTCAGAATACCTTATTAATAGGAAAACCCATTAAGATTGTGCATACAAGAAAATCAAAACTAAACCAAAGATGTCATTACTTCAATTTCGAGAAGAACTAATTCGTGTATTACTCGAACTACCGCCAAGAAGTAACAATTTAGAACAACCGAGTGTTCAGAGTTGCAGGTGTTCGTTGGCGGCGAACCCTTTGTTCCCCGGCGATCGGTCTCTTTCATAAGACCGACAGACCTACTAAGGCAGCCGCCAGTCACACCGCCAACACCAAACGTGTAAGACCAAGTCGGTCCGCTGCTTATATAAAAATAAAGCCTTGATTGTGATTAAAGCTGTTTAATTAATTCAGGTCCTTCGAAGCAACAAAATAAGATAACCATAGCACATTGGGTTTTACAATACGAAAGACCGAGCACCTCAAAGAAGACACATCCAACACCTTTTAAAAGAAAATCGTATTTCTTGAACTGCGTTGTCTGCAAAAAGATTGACAACAAGCGGAAGCAAACAGTTTGGCGTAAAAATTACAAAAACCAGCCTCTTATGTGCCCGGGATCATGCTTTGAAAAACGGCACATATAGAAATGTGTGCATTTTTGTATTTGATATATTGTTGAACAACTGAAATTATTTTTGATAGTTTTTAATAAAAAATTAAAAAATAAGTTATAAAAAAATTGATTTTCTAACTATAACTGCTATAGCAGTTTTTGGGCCCACCATAAAACTGCAATTGGACTTTGTCGATTTGACGCGTGGTTGGTTGTCTACTTTATAGAGTTGATTGGTACAAGCACAGTATAGAGATCACTCAGTAGAGACAACTCGCTATTTTTACTGACCCGTTTTCATGGGTGGTCGTTTGTCTTGTGACCATATGAGGGCGCGCAACGCAAGGTACTTCTCCTTCTTACACATTAGGACATTGAACTGTGGTACTTTGGTTGTCTAGTGACTTTAATGTGAAATATTTGAAATTTGGCAGTTTAGTTGCATTGGTTTTGATGATTTAAGGCTGATCTTCCGGTGTAATTATTGCAGTTAAGTGTAATTTTTACAGAAACATTTTAAAAAGCGTTGTTCACGTTTACATAGAACCATTGTTTACTGTTTAATTTTTTTTGTAAAAAAAAATAAATGTACATACATATATTAGCGTTTTCTAATAACGTTGAATTTTACAACCATGTACAGCCATCACGAAAAAGAAATTAATGAAACGTAAAATCGAAATCAGAGAAGCGGGCCACATCTAAATTTCAACACGGCTGTGTTATAGGGCCCTTAATTAATTATTTATTATAATAGACTGTGTGGTTTCAAAGGTCAACTAGTTATTACACTATTTTTAAGTCTTCCAAAAATTCATTTGCACAAAGTGTGGTAAATTGTGTACACGAATCAATTTTAAAGTGAAGCGTTTGTGATACTTTTTAAATTGGGTGGCGACATCTAGAAATATTTTGGGCAACGACCACCGATGACGGCTTAAAATTCTGGTCAAAAAGATCAAAGGCGCCGACACGAGTTGTCTCTACTGATTGATCTCTATACTGTGGTACAAATTTCATTTTGATATCTTGAAAAATCACCGCGATACAGCTGTGGCTTTCTGAGCACCTCCCGCAAAAATCGACTGTCGTGTTAAATATAACAAAATAGTATATTATTAGCCAAGGTTGCAAAGCCAAGCAATCTAGACCGAGCGCAAATTAGAACCCGAGACGCGCAGCGTCGAGGGCTCTGAAGCGCGAGGTCTAGAAGTGGCTTTGCAACCGTGGTTAATATACTATTTTTTTCACTAGTAGAAACCATAAGACAATAAATTGAAAAAATAAACGTTCAATTTTTTGACGCAACATGATTTTGTTTTGATTTCTAATCAAACTTAATCTAAATCTTCAACACAAAGAAAACCGTTTATACTTGGTCTGTCTGTCGCTGAATTAATCATTTTATCTTTTACCGTCTACCAACTATCATGCGTATACTCAAGTAATGTTTATAGCACACATTTGTTTTTGAACCGGTGGTCGCAAAAGTTGAATTTGCTACCTCTAAATGAGTCGACATTTGCATGCGTCATGGCTGCTAGTGAAAAAAATATATTTTCCGTTTTGTTATGGGATGTACCATGTAAGGTTTAAAATGTTTGGTGCCATAATCAAATTTAGCCCCCAAAACGTTACACATACTTGTATTCACTGTTGCTCCATCAAATGTTGTTGAATAGCAGTGAACACCTGTATCATGTAAAAGTTCTAGGCAGCTACTTAGCAGTTGCAGCTGGTGACCTTTAGAAATGGGGGGACACAGTTTGATTGGTGAGTTGAATATGAAGATATAAAACAGGTTGTCATTACCAATTAATAGACGAAATTGTGTGACGGAAATAAATACCAAAATACATTCAATAAAAATTAAAAAGGGTTTCTCCACATACATTTTTGCCTTCGGTGTTCATGGCATCTAAAAGTTAATTTTGGATAGTTTTAGGCATTCCTTTAAAAACCGTTGCTTCTTTCAAATGATCTGATAAAGTTCAATTCAACCATAAAATCAATCAGACCTCGAAATATACCTGGATTTTGTGATTCCCTACTTTCGTCATGTCCACGTAAAGCAAATTCAAACACTCCACAAAATTTTATGCACATTATCAATCGGCGTAATATATATGGCGATTTTTGTCGACCCTTGCGTTATGTGCCCGAATATTATTAATATAAGCGGTGTGTAGTTGTTTCCGAATGTCTGTATTACCGAGAAGAATATTTATCATACGTGTTCGCGCGAAGGAAAATTAAAACCTGCGATAGTAACTCAATCCTCCAGAGCACGATCGCAACGGGCTCAAAACCTAGTTGTATCAGGCGCATATCAGGCGGCTACGACGTGTAGTTTCCATGGCAACGGTCCATTCGGTCTCTGTGCCGGGCTTTTATCAGCATTTCATCAGAAATAACATATCATATATCCAAGACACATCTTTAGATGCAAGTGGAAGTAAGTTTTGATACATTTTATACAAGTGGAGCGAGATAAAAAAAATAGTTTTGATAATTATGATACAAATTTCCGGATAATTTTTTAAATATGGTGTCCAGTGTGTTTGTAGACGTTGTAATTTTGGGGGGACACGTGCTCTTGTGCCCCCCGGCACCAGCCGCCCCTGCTACTTAGTAAATTCGCCCTTTCACGAGCAGTCAAACCTTTTATTAAAAAATAACCAACTGGAACTTTCCACCCTTCATTAATAGATACTGGCATAAAAACCAAGGCGTTAGTTGCAGCTGGAACTGAATCACTTGTGTGCATAAATTCCGTTCCTAGATCAACACCTCCATAAAACCTCTCTTTGTTGAATAGTATCTGCTCCCGTATACCCATTTCATCAACAGTTAATTGATGAAAAGAGGTTGTGGCTTCTTTTGTTCTACTTTCAATTTTATTGCTTTTATGGCTTCGCTAGTAAATCCTGGCTTGCCATCAATGACACAATACCACGATCTAATCGTTGATGGATGTGGCAATGCATTATGCCATGTTTCTCGAATAAAATAATATGCTTTACTCGAATAAAATTGCAGTGTCAAAGCAAAACTTCTCAAAAAGCAAAACTTCTCAATTCAGGGGGATATTGCGTTCATCTTTTGCACTTCAATTGCCGAAATATCAACTGCTTTACAGCATCAGGAAGTGAATTCTATAAATAAATATGAAGTTATTTTTCTACAAAAAAGTAAAAAGCTATGGACTTACTAGTATGGTGTCACCTACACTCCATAAAGTAGAACCTTTCAAAATTCGTGATTTCTGTTCGAAGTATGCTTATAATACTCCTTCATTCACATCTTGCACTCTTTTCTCCTTGTACGCCTTTTTATACTTTTCCTTTGATTTCTCGGGCAATAGGGAATTGCGTGCCAATGTGGCTGACTCTTCAACATCAAAAGATACTGATGCAACACCATCTTCCAACATTTTGACTGCAAGAAACACCCAAAACACTTCAAACGTTAAAAAATTGCAAAATATTGCGTTGCTTGTTTGTATTCCCATGACAAATTTATTGCATTGAAAGGGACTTGATATTTTATTATTCAATAAAATTTATAATGAAGAGTTTTTTACCTAATTTTACAAAATCTTGTGTGCAATTTGATAGGAAAAGTGTTTTTCCACATTCACGACATGTTTTTGATCTCGACTTCGTCTCGATCAAAAATCTCGTGTCTAGAATGTGGA